GTCCTGGATTATGGATGTAAGTATAAAGGACTAATGGCTCTGATACACAGCGCTTGTCAGGACGCTCCCGGAGGCCACTAGGGTGGCTGCTCCTAGCTCTGAATAAAGCCTATTAATTTTTTACCCACGGCTCCCAGGATCTTCTCCTATTACCTAGCTTGTTGAACTCCGTGTGAAGGGTTTATGACCATCTGTACAATGGGTTTGAGGGGTCTGTGAGCCCTAGCAATACAATATATTACTTTACTTAATTATCTCAATAATTGCATATGGTAGATATTATTCTCAGATATGGACTAAGTTGCTTAATATCACATGGTTACTAAGGAATGAAACTGGGACTTCAACCAGACTGACTCCAGACCCTTCTCTTTTATATTTAGCTCAGTATTTTCCGAAGTGAATTTTTGGAAAAATAACTGCACAGAATATTAGTAGATGATTTTTGAAAGAAGGGGAAAAAAAGCATGAATTACCTAAATAGGGTTGGGGAATATATAAACAGATTTCTTTGGTATAGGATTTCACAGAGTCTCTAAAAGCTAAAATACAAATGCAGAATATAACACTTCCCAAGCCTCCTTGAGTACAAAACTGTTCTTGGCTGGGTCTCTTTATTTTTTGTGTGTTTTTTGGCATCTGGCTAGTATAGGGATGTGAACCCATGACCTTGGTGTTAAAAGGCTGTGCTGTAACCAACTGAGCTAACTGGCCAGCCCTGGCTGAGTCTTTTTAGATCATTGTTCTGTAAACTAAGTCTATGAAATGATGGTCTACAAAGTGCCTACCCTCTGAGGTTGAGCTCTTAGTTCACTTTTACAGTGACTAAAAAAAGACCTGGGGCCGGCCCGTGGCTCACTTGGGAGAGTGTGGTGCTGATAACACCAAGGCCACAGGTTCGGATCCCTATATAGGAATGGCCGGTTAGCTCACTTGGGAGAGCGTGGTGCTGACAACACCAAGTCAAGGTTAAGATCCCCTTACAGATCATCTTTAAAAAAAAAAAAGAAGAAGAAGAAGACCTGGTAGGGGAGAGGCCAGGGGTAAGTTACCAAGATGTACCTGTGTTCTTTACTTTAGAAACTGTCATTCAAGTAAATTGGTAGTACCTCTCTGGGGGATAATTTAACCATACGTATGAAAAGCCTGTCAACCTTGGGGTGCTCAAGATAAACCACTGGGGTAGGAAAAAAATATTAGAGCTTCCATTTAAAACTTCTCACATTTGATTTTTGAACTTTTTCACATTTTTTATTTATATGTAATGTATTTATATATATATTGGAATAGTAATATATGTATATAATTTGCAAACAGTTTAATATTAGGCATAAGTCAATAATATTAAGGGAATCACTTAACCATACATACAGAAAGCATTTAATGTCTTCATATTCTTTGGCCCAGTAATTTTATTTTTTGGAATTTATCTAATTTACCCTAAGGAAATAACCTTGCATGTATATTAATATTTAGCTACAGGGATATCTGTTGAAGAACTGCTTGTACTTGTGAGAACTGAAATCAGTCCAAGTATCCAACAATGAAAGATTTGTTACATAAATTATGGTACATCCATATAAAGAATCCTAACAGAAAGCTATTAAAAACTAGATAGTAGTAGGATATACAATTGCCTTGAAAAAGAATCCTGATTTTGTCAGTCAAAAAAACAGATGGCAAAAGATTATAGAGTTTATATGCCAGAAGAAAGGACTGGAATGATGAACCAAAACGTTAATAGTGGTAGGTCTTAGTGAGACAAACGGAAATTTTTATTTCCTTTTTGCATCCCTATGTCATCCTCACTTTTGTGAGGATGTATGTTTCTGGATAAGTATTATATTCACAATGTTCAAAGTTTTAAAATTATAAAAGGGTATACAAAGTCTTTTCCCCAGCCCTGTTTCCCAGACAACCTACTCCTCTCTCCAAAAATATCCAAGTGTTTTGGGTTTTTGTGTATCTTTCCAAGGATATGTTATGTTGCTAAAGTTCATATATGTACATATATTCTTTTTACCCTTTGTCAACACAAATAATAGCATGCAATACACACTGTTTTGTACCTTGCAATACACACTGTTTTGTACCTTTCAATATTGAATAACCGTGTGACTGTGTCATTTCACCCATGTGGGAGTATATCTGGAGGATACATTCCTAAAAGTGGAATTGCTGAGTCAAAGGAAATGTACATTTGTAATTTGGACAAATATTGCCATATTGCCCCCTGAAGTTACAAAAAAAATCTTCTAACACTTTCTTCTGGTAATTTAATGGTTTAGGTCTTTCTACACTTCACTTTAGATCCATTTTAATTTATCTGGGCTTAATGGATACTTAATAAGAAAAACAAAATATTTGAAATATTAAACTCCTCCGTCAGAGTGGAAATCCAAGTGCTGGTCGTCCCATCTGTTAGATCACAGTATCTAGATGCCAATAAGGACATCTTGGAAAGGTTCAGCTTACACAGCGGATGAATAACATAACAAGACTTCTGCTCTACGTGCAGGTTTACTTGCTTGCGAGTCACAGTGTCGTGAAGAGACAAATGCTGAGCTCGGTTTCTACCTTCAAGTGAGTTTTTCACTCCCAAAGAACTCAGATTGCTGGTTGGATTTCCCTTCTGAAATTTTTTTGTAAGTTGACTTAATCATTTAAATAAAAAGAAGTGGGCTCCCCTGGAGTATCGGAGTATGTAGGTATGGGTTGCCTGAATTCGTGTGTGGCAATATGAGGGGATATAGGAAGAAAATGAATTATATTCCTGCAGAGATTCTGTGGGCCTGTTACTCAGTGGCGAACATAAGCAGCTGTACTGAAATGTCAGATGGATTTGCACAGCTGACTCAAGTTGCCGAAAAGAGAGCAGCATAGTAGTACCATAAATTGACCCTGTCCAGCCAAGCTGTGCTTAATATAGATCCAGCTTCAGCTTCGCTGTAGTCACTTCTAGCTGCTCAGCAAACACCACCGAGGTTCTTGGGAAAAAAATATCTCAAGGGTGTACTGACCTGAGACACTTGTTAACTGGGGGGTAGTACCATAAATTGACCCTGTCCAGCCAAGCTGTGCTTAATATAGATCCAGCTTCAGCTTAGCTGTAGTCACTTCTAGCTGCTCAGCAAACACCACCGAGGTTCTTGGGAAAAAAATATCTCAAGGGTGTACTGACCTGAGACACTTGTTAACTGGGGGGCCTTCTCGAGGTTTTGTTTCTTCTTTTAAAAAATCATCTGTAATTATTTCTTCTTTTCTAGTAAAATAGAAACATTATAGGAAAACCATGTCAGAGCACAGCAGGAATTCAGACCAAGGAGAACTCCCTGATGATGAGATTGATGAAGATAAAATTTTGGCCAACTTGTCACCCGAAGAGCTGAAAGAATTGCAATCGGAAATGGAAGTCATGGCCCCTGACCCCAACCTTCCCGTGGGAATGATTCAGAAAGATCAAACCGACAAGCCACCGACAGGAAACTTCGACCATAAATCTCTTGTTGATTACATGTATTGGCAAAAGGCATCCAGGCGCATGCTGGAAGACGAGCGCGTTCCTGTCACCTTTGTGCAATCCGAGGTAACCCGGGATTTGTGTACAACAGAGAAATGGCTGCCTGGGACTGGGCTGTCAGATGTTGGGGCTGTAACTATGGTTTCTCAAGACTCCAATGTTTTGTTCTGTTTTGGTTTTGCCACATCTAGATTAAATCTTAATATTTAATCCTCCTCCAGACTGGAACTTTCAGAAACACCTACATGATATAGTTGTGAGGGAAAAATTGGTAACTTTTTGTAAATGTCTGTTTTTAAAAATTGCTATTGGGTTTGCTGTGTAGGAAAGCCTGTATTACGTATTGATGACACTTAATAACTTAACTCATAACCCAGACAGCAGTTGTCCTTACCTCCTTTTTTTTTTTTTGGCTCACAGGGCACTTTGAGAAGCTGATGAAAGCTCTGTACCCTCTCTCTCTGGCACATCCATACATATGCAATATTTCACATACAATGTGAGAGGTTTCACAGCCCCCCTGAAGTCTAGCCATATACCCTGCAATTAAACCAAGTCAAATAACTGAAAATGTTTAACATTCCCATCATGCATTGGATATTAGTGATGACATTTAGAAAATGACAGATATTAAGCTATTTTAGGGTTTTTCTTGAATGTTTAACTAGAACTGTTAACTCTACAAATTTATTATATATCAGAATAATTTTGTCAGTGTTCCGCTTAAAAATGACTTAGCAAAAAGAGGACATAGATTTACCCCCCAGATAAAGTCTCTTTCAGTTATGCCTGCTGTTATAGATGTATCTTGTCACATTACTATCATGCTGGCTGTAATTAAGGAAAGTTTCATGGTCAGGAAAGTTTAAACATGTACTGAGCTCAAGAAAATAAATTACTGGCTTGATCAGGTTAGAGTTTAAGGTATAATTTGTGAACATGTTACAATTGGAGGTCAATGGATTAAAAACCAATTCTATATGAACGCTGGTTTGATTTTTTTAAAAAAATNTTCTACCTTCAAGTGAGTTTTTCACTCCCAAAGAACTCAGATTGCTGGTTGGATTTCCCTTCTGAAATTTTTTTGTAAGTTGACTTAATCATTTAAATAAAAAGAAGTGGGCTCCCCTGGAGTATCGGAGTATGTAGGTATGGGTTGCCTGAATTCGTGTGTGGCAATATGAGGGGATATAGGAAGAAAATGAATTATATTCCTGCAGAGATTCTGTGGGCCTGTTACTCAGTGGCGAACATAAGCAGCTGTACTGAAATGTCAGATGGATTTGCACAGCTGACTCAAGTTGCCGAAAAGAGAGCAGCATAGTAGTACCATAAATTGACCCTGTCCAGCCAAGCTGTGCTTAATATAGATCCAGCTTCAGCTTAGCTGTAGTCACTTCTAGCTGCTCAGCAAACACCACCGAGGTTCTTGGGAAAAAAATATCTCAAGGGTGTACTGACCTGAGACACTTGTTAACTGGGGGGCCTTCTCGAGGTTTTGTTTCTTCTTTTAAAAAATCATCTGTAATTATTTCTTCTTTTCTAGTAAAATAGAAACATTATAGGAAAACCATGTCAGAGCACAGCAGGAATTCAGACCAAGGAGAACTCCCTGATGATGAGATTGATGAAGATAAAATTTTGGCCAACTTGTCACCCGAAGAGCTGAAAGAATTGCAATCGGAAATGGAAGTCATGGCCCCTGACCCCAACCTTCCCGTGGGAATGATTCAGAAAGATCAAACCGACAAGCCACCGACAGGAAACTTCGACCATAAATCTCTTGTTGATTACATGTATTGGCAAAAGGCATCCAGGCGCATGCTGGAAGACGAGCGCGTTCCTGTCACCTTTGTGCAATCCGAGGTAACCCGGGATTTGTGTACAACAGAGAAATGGCTGCCTGGGACTGGGCTGTCAGATGTCGGGGCTGTAACTATGGTTTCTCAAGACTCCAATGTTTTGTTCTGTTTTGGTTTTGCCACATCTAGATTAAATCTTAATATTTAATCCTCCTCCAGACTGGAACTTTCAGAAACACCTACATGATATAGTTGTGAGGGAAAAATTGGTAACATTTTGTAAATGTCTGTTTTTAAAAATTGCTATTGGGTTTGCTGTGTAGGAAAGCCTGTATTACGTATTGATGACACTTAATAACTTAACTCATAACCCAGACAGCAGTTGTCCTTACCTCCTTTTTTTTTTTTTGGCTCACAGGGCACTTTGAGAAGCTGATGAAAGCTCTGTACCCTCTCTCTCTGGCACATCCATACATATGCAATATTTCACATACAATGTGAGAGGTTTCACAGCCCCCCTGAAGTCTAGCCATATACCCTGCAATTAAACCAAGTCAAATAACTGAAAATGTTTAACATTCCCATCATGCATTGGATATTAGTGATGACATTTAGAAAATGACAGATATTAAGCTATTTTAGGGTTTTTCTTGAATGTTTAACTAGAACTGTTAACTCTACAAATTTATTATATATCAGCATAATTTTGTCAGTGTTCCGCTTAAAAATGACTTAGCAAAAAGAGGACATAGATTTACCCCCCAGATAAAGTCTCTTTCAGTTATGCCTGCTGTTATAGATGTATCTTGTCACATTACTATCATGCTGGCTGTAATTAAGGAAAGTTTCATGGTCAGGAAAGTTTAAACATGTACTGAGCTCAAGAAAATAAATTACTGGCTTGATCAGGTTAGAGTTTAAGGTATAATTTGTGAACATGTTACAATTGGAGGTCAATGGATTAAAAACCAATTCTATATGAACGCTGGTTTGATTTTTTTAAAAAAATGACAGTATTTTTAACATTTTTTTTCTTCTCTGGTAGAATTTAAACAGCTTAATAGTTAGCTCCCCCTGCTGGCACCGATGAGAAATGCAGTGGTGAAAGCTTTAGGGGGTTAAGATGACTATTGTCAACTTCAATTCTAAACTGTAAATACAGGGGCCTTCAAAAGGTTCATGGAAAGATTTGTATTATCTTTTAATTTCATTTTCCCAAAAATTTTTTGAAGTCACAAGCATTAAGATTAAGTCCTTGCTTAGATGAACCTGTGTCTCAGACTGTTACAACAGCTTTCAAAGTGACACCTATGAGATACACATATTGTATAGAAAAGTGTGATAATTGCTGTGCAAGAATCTAATAAACATTACTGACAGAAGACTGTCATTTTCCTTCCCAGACTAAGTAATTATTTATAAAGTTCTGCATAATTCTCTTCCATTATATAGCTGGCTTTGCACCCTAGGCACTTGCCTTCATAAAAGACTGAACGTGAGCATATCCCTGGAGTAGCCAGGGCACTTTTTGCAGCACTGAGGAGACAAAATCAAAATCAAAGTTTAAAAAAAGACACATCCCCAAATATCAAACTGCTCTTAGTCTCCTCACATTATGTTATGTTCTCAGGGAAATTTGACGTACATGCTATACTGCATTAGCAGACATTTTAGGAATATAAATGTTAGTTCGGGCAATAAGGAAATTATCATGTAACCCAGGGCTGTTGAGTACAAAGATGCCTATTCAGCTACATACAAAACAAAGACTTTAATATATCAATAAACAACTCTATGTCTTCAAAACAATTTTTTAGCATCTTCTGGAATTGAACAGCATTTTAAGAAACAATATGGAATCTGAAAACAAAG